ACAAAAACTTCTACATTGAGAGTATGGAATTCTCTTACACTTCCCTTCTAGTACAGTTGATGGTAATGCATTTAGTTGGGTAAGAGTAAGCCGATGGTAATGCATTTAGTTGGGTAAGAGTAAAGGCTCTACAATACTTGGATATTAATAGTGAGTAAAGGTAGTTAGCTGGTTTAAAAGGCAGTAGTGCTTTATCCAAAGAAATACTATTTGATATTGCTCCCAAATCATGTTGCCTCTCCACCTCCATGATGTGTTGTTTAAGAGCTTGGTTTGCAGCATCATATCCCAAATATATTATATTGCCCTCTGAAAATCCATAAGATCTAAGCTTGACTAGTAGAACTTCCTTCTAATTTGACTGATAATTCTTCTGTAATATTAGAGAGGTCAAACCTCTCGGGAAGAAAATTAGTTTCAGCCAGAAGCTAAAGATGGTTAGCCAAATCTTTGTTTCAACTTTCAGGAATCCTACCTCCAGCAGCAGAGCCTGCATTAGGAACCCCGCATGGCACCTGCAGAATCACTCTTAAAAATGTTGTCTGGACCGTTTCTAATGGTGTAAAGAAAGAGTAGGATCCTAATTGTGCACCATAGAGTAATTGGTTAATTGATTTAGCCTCAAACACTTTTAAAACTGCTGGAATATATTGTCCCCCTTTGTTATAAAAAAAATCTGTGTTGCTGATGCAGATCTCTGTGCTGCTTGGGTCACATAGTCTGCAAGTGCTCTGCAAGCACCATTTACTTGGAAGACAACTCCAAGGTATCTAAAGACCTTTGTTTGTTCAATCTTGTAGCCATTTATAATCCATTTATAGAGTTTTGGTCTTTCAGCAAACACCATGATCTTAGTTTTTTCATAGTTTATTTGAAGACTTTCTTCTTGACTGTAATGTGCAAAGGCACGCAGTGCCCTCTTCAGGCCAACTGGTGTCTGCGATAATATCACAGCATCATCAGCATAGAGCAGCACCAAGAGGCGTCTGCCCACTAGATTAGGGGGATGGAAATCTAACTGGCTAAGGGTTACCACCATTGAGTTAATATAGAAACTAAACAACAATGGGGCCAATATGCATCCTTGTTTGATTCCATTATATGTGGGTCCTTTGTTGGACAAATAACCCTCCCAACTGCATCTTATTTTCAGATTTGTGCTTTCATGGAGTTTATAAATGAGCAGTAATAAATGATGATCTATTGTAGAGGATCCTACTTTACACCACAGTTTATCTCTAAAGATGGCGTCAAAAGCAGATTTAAGGTCGATAAAGGTTTGGGTTTTTTTAACTGAGAAGTACAAAACATAAATCCTTTTACTGCAAATTACACCTACTGTATATAAAAAGGGAAGTTCTCTGAGACAATGATAAAATGGGCAAGGGATTTCGGCTATAATATTGACATTGATCACTGGACGATGATGTGGAAAGACTGTTATAAAATGATCAAGCCAGTAAATTTAAGAGAAAATATCCTCAA